ACCATGTCTTGTCCTCTCCTTGAAAAGTGAAGCAAGGGAATGAGGAGCAGCAGCCTTTGTGTGTGCATGAGCCCTTTGTTTTAGCCCAGAAGAGTAGAAGTTACTTAATATATTCATGTTTATGTGCTGTCCAGAAAAAACACTTAAATATTACTGGTAATATAATATTAGCATTTAATTTTTTGAACAGTAATATTGATATATAATATAATGCATATTGTTTATTTAGTAAATTCTAGCAGTTTAGAAATTTTGATATTTTTTGTAAAAGTTAAAAGAGTAATTAAATAAATGTTACTACACCCAAAAATCATTTTTTTTCAGTGTGTGCATTTAACATAAAACATCAAACTAAGGTTTTTTTCAAGCTAGAGTGGTTTTWATTACACAATGTACAGTCAGAACATCAAGCACTTTCCAGGACTCTGTAATGAAGCACTTTCCAAACCATGAAGGATTTCAAGCACCTATATGAACCCTGATATTTGTGTAGATTCCACATAAAGATAACCCTGAAGATTGTTTTAACGTGTGTCAGCCTCTTGTCTCATGCACATCACGTGCACACCTGTCTCTCTACAGGTTACAGCACCTCTGTAATTTCCCAGAACCCTGATAAAGATAGGAGTCAGGAATGTTGATAAAACATATAGAAGGACTSAWGGTGGGTGGGGTTGGGGGGGTCTTCTGTTTTATTTGAAGACACATTAAAGAAAAGGAGTGAAGCCACGCTGCTGTTCTTGTTGAGACAGGAGCACTAGGAGGTAATTAGCAGGTGGTCTCGGCTGCTCAGCAGAGACTCCAGCACACCGGGTCCTGCTCCACAGGAACATGCTGTGGATGCTTCTGACTCTCATGTCTGTGGGGGCTTTACCCCTGCGCCCCCCTGACCTTCCTCCTCAGCCTCCAACTGGACTGTCCGAAGCGGACCAGAAGTTTGCAGAGGTAAGCTGAATTTTAGCTGCTGAGTCAGAAGCTCTTTGAAACTGCATGATTTACGGTTTCTACTAACTTCCCTAAAAGTTCATCACGTATAAAAGACCAGCCTTCCTTGAAAAAAACATCAGCTTTAATGCCAGAGTGTTGGACTTAAACAGAAAATACACTGATATGTTGCAAGGTCTCAACACTCAGACTGGGTGTTGGGTCTAACTCTCAGRTACAACCACTCTGTGCTCAGTGTTTCTAAAACTGACAGACTTATCAGCAGTGTGTTTTCTGAGATCAATTAGCTGGGGCCATGTTGAGTCAAGTAATTACCTGACATTTGACCTTATGGTGTTTTTAAGGCCTGAGTCACACTGCGAGAAAATCAGGCAGATTTTTGCCCTTCTGGAAGTCCAGATTACGTGATCTCTCAAAAGACAGAGAGAGAGAGATGATAGGTAGGTAGGTAGGTAGGTAGGTAGGTAGGTAGGTAGGTAGGTAGGTAGGTAGGTA